CTCTGGTTTAGTTTTCAGGACAGCAGATTCCACAGTGACGACGTGAACCTGCATCGCCGCCGTTTACCGTGAAATAACAACGTGACGAGTTTTGTTTCTTCAACAAGCAGGTTGGCAGTGAAGGCGGCCATGTTTGGTCATGAAGCGGCGCAGACAGATGCTGCAGCTGCTGCAGCTGCTGCAGCTGCTCTCGGGGAACCGTGTCGGCTCCTTGGCCTGGTCCACGGCTGTTGCCACGGTAACGGATGCTGATGCGCCGAGTCTTGGGCATGTCGCCATGGCGCTGCTGTGGAGGGGGATTGAAACGTCCTCAAAACAGCAGAGAGAGAGAAAGACAGATGCTTTGCAGAGGAATATGCTGCACAGTTTTGTCTTTTCCTTTTATTTTTGTTTTCTTTCTGTTGTTTGTTCTCTAATTGGTTATTTTGTCAATCAATGCCGCTCTGATAGCCTGTAGTGTTTGCTTTTTATGTACCAACTGACAAGTAATTATACTATAACTATTTCTCAAAGAAATCATTTGCCCCAAATTGTTGTTTTGAAAAGTTTCAGGATAATTTCCTGAGGTTTTGGGATTTATTTCCATTTAGAAACAATGTTTGAATCCTGAAACGACAGAATCTCCACCCTGAAATATTAACATTTTTAAAAGCCTGTGGTGAAATAGAAGGATTCATGAGTAAATACTCTGTCTTTTACAACATGTAATCAAAAGTATCAGATGGTTGTTTTATTGGCATTTTTACTCTTAGCCGCAGAAAACACTAAGAAAACTATCAGGATGGCAAATTATCTTCTCTACAAATATTTGATGAAATCTGGTGATTTTTTAATGACTAAACTGTAATAATATCAGAACCTCAGGACTCCTAAAGCACGCTGCCTCAAATTACGGAGGAATATTAGTGCCATAAAAAGAATAATTATTTAAATTGTTCATATTACATCAGGCAAATCTAGTCTTAAAGCTTAAATCAATAAATAATTTTGAGAAAGGCCATTTTAATAGTCCGGTTTCTGAACAGAAAATTTCTGAACTTTTATCTCTAAACGTGGATAACATGAAGGTTTACAAATTTTACCGCCAGATTATTTTCACATACTGGCAACATAGTTGACACTCAAGAATGTTTGACTATCAGTTGGATTTTGACAGATTAGCTAGGATTCTGAGATTCACCTATTTTTATGTTTAACTTCAATAATTTAACAATAAATGACAACAAAGTAAATCTCACCTGGACTTTTGTTTTTAAATTTCTCTCTTTGCCTCCAAAACCTTGGATCCTCTCTGAGCTTCTTCATGCTCCTTTTAAAGGGCCGGGGCCCCCATGTTGGGAATCGCTGGCATGAAGACGAAGTGACGACATCAACAAAGTCTAAAAATAAAACATGAGGTTCTAATGACATTTACAACTGATGCCTCATTTCAGAAAGCCTCTTGGTGAATCTGACTCTCATTTCTCATCTAAACAAACAGAAATGGAAACAAAATCGAAACATTTTCCTGGTTTTTCATGAAAAACAAAGTTTGGTCTGATGGTAAAATGTGTGTCATTTAGTATCTAACAGCAGAGGGCATCATGCCACAGAGAGAAAACATGTTTCTGTTTCTGAAGCATAAAAACATATATTTACATCAAAAATGGTACAAAAAGATTTACTGCATTCTTTTATTTCATATAACTTGGTGTGATTCATTTTTAAAGTTTATATTTTTATTGCTTTAGCCAAATTTGCAGCCTGTGTCTTTTCTTTCTTAAGGTAATTTGACTTAAGCCTCCATTTCAGACATATGAGGTGAAAAATAAAAGAAATAATTAGAGAAATTATGATTATTTGGAAGGTGGGGAATAAGATTTTTATTCCAATGATGGTGCCTTAATAATATGAGTAAAGTTGCTCTAAAACTCTGATTTAATGATCCATCTGATTAATATTGTTTTAAATTTAACCTTTTGATTCTGAATGTTTTTGGTTTTTTTGTTTCAATCAAAAGTTTTTAAGACAAAATATGACAATTTTTGTTTAACTACAATAATGTGGCCAATGAATGGAAGTTTACCACAAAAACTGTCTTAAAATTAAGAGTAAAAAGTTGCTTTATTGAGAAAAACAACATTATTTATGAATACAACCAGTTCCAGTTGTTTACCCAAACTTTCTTTCTGACAAGTGGAAAACCTTAAAGGGCAGTATAATCTAAAACCGATTCTATTTTTTACCTTTCCGTCATGTTGTGACGTTTTTCCCTCATCAGAAACAAACCTAGAGTTTTGTCTTGATTCTTTCATGTCTGAGAAATCCTTAACTACTCTCTATGGCAACCAATCAGCTGTGTAAAACACCTGGTTGGACCTAGCCCCGCCTTCAAGACATAGCTCCTCCCCATTCAGCTCCTTCAGACTAGCCAGCAGCAATTAGCAAACACACGGTGCATCTGCTGAGCTCATTTTAGGAGTTATTTGGTAAAAACGTTAAAGGGTTAATAGAGGAGCCATGTTGGAATGACTTTCTGAAGTTTTAGAATAAGCAGGAGTTTTTAAAGAGATAGAGGCCCAATTTCAAGGCGTTGAATTACAAAGTTAAATTTCTTTCAAGTTAAATTTGATATAGAGCATTTTTATAACAACTGAAGGTAACATAGTTACCTGATTTAGCAGTGAAATGGCACCATGTGCCTGAAAACACATCATACTGCCCCTTTAAACCTCATTCCGGTCGCAGCAGAAACACGGCCGTATATCCGATCATCAGCTGCTGCTGCAGCGAGCGTGTGCAGAGGGAGTGGAGCAGCATAAACAGGATGCCAGCGTCTCTTTGCTCTTATCTGTGCCTCACATGTGTTGGTGAGGTTGTGAACGGGCCAGCTGATGCAGCATGTGTGAATACCGAGTCTGTGTGTGTGTGTGTGTGTGTGTGTGTGTGTGTTGTGTGTGTGTGTGTGTGTGTGTGTGTGTGTGTGTGTGTGTGTGTGTGTGTGTGTGGGTGTGTGTGTGTGTGTGTGTCAGCGTCTTACAGACCAGGCAGATTTGCATATTTATATTTATTTGTCTGTTTTCAGTTACACACTCTGTGACACTTTGTTTTATTAGACATGGTAACATTGTAGGCAGATTTAATGTTGAGATGAAAAACAGTGTTTAAGTCACAGAGGCGTTTCAAAGGAGAGCAGTAGCCACACAAACATCTCTTCCTGTGAAAACTGAATGCGTCACGGTAAGTCGTAATAGAGAAATGGATGCATTTGTGTTTTTTTTTTTCATGTTTGTGTTTATAAACCATAAATTTTATTTCATATTTTCACAGCATTAAGACACAAAAGGTGACCAACAGATTTACGGGCTACAAAACATCTTAATTACATTTATTGCATACAATTATTCCAACATAACTAGATTTCAGTCTCTTCAGTTTTGGCAGATGCATAATTATACAATGGTGCATCTTCGAAAAGCAGAAATGGAGCCTCCAGCACAACGAACAAGGATCCAGTAAGTGGCTTCAGGATGATAATTTAACAACAAAACACTTGTCTTTGCCAGCAGCCATTTTACAGCTCATACAGTGTTAAAAGTAGCTGACCAAATGTGCTGGAGCTCAGCTTAGAAAATCCATGTGAACTCTGGTGTGCATTCAATGTATATGTGAACGCCAAGTGGACCAGACATCATTCCAAAAGCAAGAAGTGGACTACAGATCAGGGCATTCTACCAAATGAACACATTAGGCTAATGCTAATGCTAGTGGGAGAAATGGCTTGAGAAATCGTCCAACCACTAACATTTAACACCACTCCATTTCTGTTAGCATTTCATAAAGAAGGAAGTTGTGCTCAGCGTCTTCTTCAGAGGTTTTTGTGTATTCTCCTTCAGTAGTTCTTGGTGCAGCGCCCCCGCAGGTGAGGAGGCGAACATGTTTTTCAAAGGGTTTGATTGGTTTGATCAGTGCAGCTGAAAATTTGGTCTCAAATCCAATCAGATCGACTGGACTATCAGGAGCGAAGACATCCTGAATGAGGCTGTCAGAATGGCTTTAATTTAACTGCAAACTTGAGAGACTGGAAGTCTGGTTTTCTAAGGGCCAGAAGAGAGAAACGGGGCTGGATGTGGTGGCTTTTAACAACTCCACATATTTCTCTTCATTCTCATGGGCTGCACATTTCTTCAAAATGGCCGTGTGAACCACAAACACAACTGCAATTAAAGCGATGCATGAAACACAAATAATTAGATGCCCAACAAACATTAAACTCCTTTGTTCTTAATAATTGGACTCAAAGGCCTCCCAATCAGAAACTAAACATGTTTTAGGTTATTTCCAAACACACGGAGGTGGTGACCCTCTTTCCAGGGTGCAATATTTATTTGGAGAAATGCGTGGCCATCAATCAGATTACTGATGTATGAGGTCTGAGTCTGAGCCAAGTTCTGTAGTTTAAAGCCAAACATGATACTCACCAAGCGGAGCCGGGGGGAAGGGGAAGAAAAGAGTGGAGGAAGGGAAGAGTGGGAGACTTTTCTATAAAAAAAACTCTAAAAATGGGAGAGAAGTACTTAAAAAAGCAACAAGAGACAAAGAAAACAGCAATGATTAAATATCAGAAAGAGAAAAAAGAAATGAAGCTGCATGAATAAACGACAGAGTTTGAAATACATGAACTTACAGAAAATGTTAAAATAAAAAAAAATATAAAATATCTGTGGATGACGGAGTGAGAAGTGTGGGAAGGGCCGAAAGAGGAGGAGAGAAACCCAGAAAGGGAGTGGAGGGACAGCTGAGAGGCAGAGCTGGAAAAATAAACGTTGCTCACACAACAAATGAGGAGAAGAAGAAGAAACAGTTTCCACAGTGTTCTAAAACCCAGCTGAGCTTCTGCAAGACTGAGCGCTATCAGGCCTGAACAGACGGCTGCCAAACCCATCCACACACACACACACACACACACACACACACACACACACACACACACACACCACACACACACACACACACACACACACACACACACACAGTGTTAGATATGATTCCATTCGCCGTGTTGGACCGGCGCTGACAGTTGGGAATAACTGGTTCTTCATCCTGTACGGTGAGTTTCCTTTGCTTTCAGCAGCTGTGACTCATTTTGTTATTATATTACTGAAGTTTAATCTGTTTAATGCCTCGATTCAAAGTTATACTGAATAAACGGATCGGTTAGCTCACAGCAGTCAGTATCCTACCTGCTACAGACTAATTCTGACGATTAATTGGACAAAAGAAAGAAAAATTCACCACATTCTGCAAGATTTTTTATTTAACTTTTTTTATACAACAGTAGAAATATATTAAAAGGTGCAAATAAACAAATATTTCAATTCCTTCTTCACATAAGAAAGTAAGTTTTTTTTGTTTTGTTTTTTTTTTACCTAAAATACATCTAGGGCCAAGCTAAGAAACTGAAAATATAATAAAATTGTAGTATTAGGAGAAATTATGTATGAAAAAGTCATAATATTAAGACTTTAGAGCCAGAATCAATCAGCAAACAGAAGCACATTTGTTTATCTTGACATCCAAAGAACAAAAAAAGACAAAACATTCGACAGCCTGAAGTCGTCTTGTAATTTAATGACTTTATTCTTACAATAAAAGTTTTTAATCATAATTTTATATTTTGTCATATTTTGGCCCAGTACTGTCATAATATCATAGCTACTGACCAACTCAACGGGTTTTCTGACAAATAGAAACAGTTTTGGTGATTCTATCTGAGCTGAAACAAGTTAAAACTTCAGATACTGAGAAAAACATTTATTTGCCCTTTTTTTATTTAACGGACGTAAATATTGGGGTTGAAAGTTTTTAATTTTAATTGCAAAATGTTCTGCGGTTTTGTTCAGTTTTGGCTTATTGTGCTCTGAGAATGTTTTTTTAAGCATATGGTCTTTTTGAAGCCTGTTTACATCAATTAACAATCTATTATTAAATAAAGTATTTTTCCCAACACTGAATCTGAGTTGCAGTGCAGCAGAGCTGTTGGCTTCAGACTGACTGTTGTAACTGTGATTTTCAGTTCATGTCATTTCTGCTATTTCTGATCCCCATCAGTTTTCGTGGCCTGCTGCTGTTTGTGCATTTATTTTCAGATATCAGGTTTCATTTCTGCACAAAAGCTGCATCAAGCCTTCACTTGAGTGGGAACTTTGGCTGAACTCGCCTTGTTTTGTGGTTCAATTTCACAGTAAATCTATTCAGAAGAGTTAACTTTTAAACTTTGCCATATTTATCAAACACTAAATGGCTTTTGAGGAAGATTTAGGGTGAACGTCATTCAGCCAGTTTAATGTTATGAAATGTGTTATTTGTTCTCCAAATAACACACTGTGCCTGACTTTCTGTTGTCCTGCTGTTTCTCAGGATGTTTTCCTGAAAGGCCAGGAGACATTTGTTACATGTTCTGCTGCTCTCTGTCTTACTGTCAAAGAAACGTTTCACCCCTCTTTGCCTGTGGGGGCGCTGCACAAGAACCACAAAAGCCTCAGAAGAAGACACTTAACTGCTTCCTCCACTAAACTTCCTTCTTTACAAAATGTCAACAAAAATGGAGCAGCATCAGATTTTAGTGGCTGTAGGATTTCTCTTATGTCTTTATTGAAAGAACCCAAGACCTTTCTCCCACTAACACATTTGTCTTTGCTGTATTTACCCAGAATACCTTGCACTGTAGTCCACTTCCTGTTTAGCGTTCGCATATGCTTTCGTATGGCCAAAGAGCAGACCAGAGTTTCCCTTTTTGGTTTGATTAGCGATCACACGTCCCCAAATGAACTGGACTTTCTAGACAAATGGACTGGAGTTGGAATAAAGTGGACTGAACAGGACTAGTGTGAATGCAACTCAGTCTCGGTTTGGTTGAAGTGAACTCTGGTGTGGTTCAAATGCTAATGTGAACGCCAAACAGACCGGAAGCTGTTCCAAAACCAGGAAGTGGCCTGCAGCCCTGGATTGTATCTACCCAGTGCATTATGGGTAGAAACAACCAAAACAAACATGCTAGTCTAGCACTAGCAGGAGAAATGACTCATGGATTTGACTAAAATACAGAAAGAAATCCTACAAGCACAAAAATCTAACGCTATTCCACTTTTGTTTACATTTTGTGAAAAGGAAGTTAATGTCTTCTTCTGAGGGTTTTGTGTCGTTTCCTTTAGTAGTTCTTGGTGCAGCGCCCCCACAGGCGAGGAGGTTTGAGGTTCTTCAAAGGGTTTGGTTGGTTTAACACAATCCATGGAAAGAGAACCACAGCGACTGCTGGTACCAAATGTGGCAACTTTGGCCCCCAACTGAACCGAGTCTACCGGTCGGTCAGCTGTGAAAGCACTTTAAGTTGTGCAAATCACAGAAGCAAACTCATCTTCCATGTTTGCTCTCCATCATTCCTCCCATCTTCACGTCAGAAGTTTTTGCTCTCAGAGCCAGAGCGCCGCTTTCTCATGAACCCATCAGTGAGTGCAGCTCAAACTGACCGGCTGCCAGAAAAAACATCAACGCAACAAACCGGGTCAGAATCAGCGCCCTCTGTTGTTTATTCCTCCTGTCCTCTGTTGCATACCGAAGCGTTGCGGTTCGTTCTGCAGGCTCAGTGAAATGATCTCTGGGGAACGACAGCGCCTCTGTTGGCTCTCTGGATTCACACAAACGGGTTCAGACGTGTCGACAAAGCAGCATTTGGAGGTGAGGGATCTTTGTCAAAGCCCATTAGATGGTTATTACTGGCTGCCATTGTGCTCCATATTCAGTGCTGCTGTCTTGCTTTTATTGCCCCTTTGACTCGCGTGATTGTTATGGTTCTGGATGCATCTTTTGCACTTAAAAAGTATGTAGTTGATGCTGAAGAAGAAAGGAATGCCAGAAATGTTCAGCAAACAGGAGAAATAGTTTTTTCTCCTGTTTTGTCCAAATTTTATGAAACATGTTTTAGTCTTGTCTTAATGCAGTGTTCTGGTTTTTATCATCAATCTGAACAACAAACTGACTCAGTTTTCAATCAAATTTTCAATTCAATTCAGTTTATTTATAAAAAGTGCCAGCTCACCAAAAATGTTGCAACAAAAGTTATTTATTTGTTTCTGTAGAAAAAATCCTTTATAACATTTTATTTAAATCAAAAAGGACAAATTATAGGATTATTTTAGTCCAGTAATCAATTATTCTATCAATTATTCTGATGATTAATCAATTAATCAAATTAAAAATGGGAACTTTCTACATATTTTTTAATTAACTTCACAAGATTTTAAAAATGCAAATAAACAATTCAATTCCTGTTTTAAATCCGAAAATAAATGTTTTAAATGCAATAATACAGCACTCTGGGTGAAACTAAACTTTAACACATGAAGCGTTTCCAGTAAACATATTTACAGACAAAAATATTTTTATCTTAAATGCAAAACTTGTTATATGTTTTTTTTTTGTCTTTAAAACCCAGTCAACGATTAAATGATTATTAAATTAGTTGACGATTAGTTCATGATTAGTTTATTGTGATTATGGTTTCTTTGATTTTCATCAGATCTCTTTTTGAATCGGCTGAAGGATTCAGCTGCATTGTGTTGACTTCCTGTTACTAAACATTTACAGAAATCTCCGTTTTATTGTCTCAGTTCTTTGCAGGCCAAAGTGGGGGAGAGAGTTTTTTTTCTATGGTCGACTTTTTGCACCGAGCCTCTCCTCTCCCTTCAGCTTAGCTGGTCTGAAAACTGGTTTTGGTCAGGCGTGCCAATCGTAAATCCACATGTTCAGTGTATAAGGGGTTAGACTTTCCCTTCAGGATAATTTACATTTTATATAAGCAGTCAGGGAAACTCTGTCAGATTCACTGGGTCGTGTTTTATACGATGCGGTTCTGAACTCTCTGACACCGTCTCGACGTCCTCCGAGGGGGTCCTGTCAGCTCTCCGCTGCACTGACTAATAAAACAAGAATGTCGTAAAAATTCCTGGGAATAAAACCCCAGTTCAAGGTAAATAGACGTATGCACCATTATTATTATTAATAGACGAAAAAAGACTTTCACACAGACTTCTATTGTTGATCTCTGCCAGTTTTACATAATTGGTTGGACTTTTTCTGACCTGTTGAAGCCCATTTGTCGCATAATCAGAACCAGTTCTATGAATTTTACATTATTTTATTCAGTATTTGGACTCTCGCATCAGACTCAGTCCACTGTGTAGAAAGTCAGACATTTTGTTATGTCGAACACAGGCTTTAATTTTACATCCACAACATGGTGTCACTCTTCCCACAAGAAGATATCCGCATTAACCACCAAGGCCTGCTCATAAACATTAGCTCCGCTAACGCTAACTGGCTACATCAACGTAAGATTTAGCAGAAGCTAATGCTAACGCGCTAACTTCAGCCATGTTGATACCCCACGTCATCTCCTCACATTCACAGGTGCAGAATGTGAGAAGAGGAAACAGAACTGCTGCAGATTTCAAAATAAAAGCATCAATATAAAGGTAGAACTACTTGAAGAATTCATAACAATTGATAGCCAGAACCAAAATGTCAAACTGTATTCAAGTGAAAGCTTACAAAACAGCCGAGTAAATTTGCGCTTCAGGATTTAATTTAGCAGTAACAATAGCGAATTAGCGGTGTAGAGTGAAGTGAGAGATGAAAGACAGATAAATATCCAAGAGCCATATTGGAGGAATCGCTTCAGTCTGTTGGGTGAAGGAAAATCTGACCCAAGAATCAAAGGTCTTTGCTCAATGGTCCAATTATTCAAAGAACAAGATCTCATGTTTACTTGACTGGGTCACCCAATGTGTTTTATTTATTTTAAAAATGTTTCCAAAAATATACAGCTAATTTAGAGTGACTAAACTAAAATCTGCTTCAACTTAGTTTTAGTTTTGTTGTTTTAGACCCTTTTGCTGACAAATGCATAAGTTAAACAAATTGTTTATCAATAAATATGGAGTCTTAGAGCATCTCAAGGTATTCCAAATAGTGTTATTTTTTAGTAGCTCTAATTTTAGACATTTTAGTCAACAGAAAGTCTGGCACCCAGCTGACGTTTTAACAATTATA